TTCCTTGCAGTACTGGAGCCAATGGTACAGCATCACAGCACGACAAACTAGTCCTTGGATTGTCTCCAGGTAAAAAGCGACAGGTGGTTCGCAGCGTCAAAAAGGGGACCCTCCTTGGGTCAGCGAGTTCAGCTTTTATTCTGAAAGGTACCGTTGCTTGGTTGGTAACAAAACAACAGAATTTTCCCAGCTTGAATGGTTCTCAGCTTAATAAGAGAAGTACAGATGGCCGGTCCAATACTTCACTTAACATGCGGTGAACTTCATGGGATCTTGAGAACGAGATCTTGAGAACTGAACTTAAGATGGCGATGGAACTATTTTACTAATCTAGATGTTTTTGATTCTGGACGAATCAAAGCTGACAGATTCATAAACACCACAGAGACTCTGCCACGCTTCAGACCAGGAAGGTTCTGATTGGATCAGTACTGCAATGTGCCATGTGATTGTTTTCCTTACGTGTGTCAGTGTGTCTAGTGACTAGATTAAGTCATATTACTTATTAAAATATATTAATCAAAACATTGTGATTTCACAGATCGGTCACATTGTATTATAGACTAACAGTTGTTTTGAAACTTTTTTTGAAGCTTTATTGAAAATGGAGTTCTTTGATTTAATAAAAGAAAAGAGTCTCTTCATCTTTTGTCTTCATTGCTGGAAAGTAAACAGTTTAGAAGCGAATGCATGACCTTGAGGCTGTTTCACGCACTCTGGCGCTGTGTCAAAGGGAACTGTGGAAAAGGTTAAATAACCTTGGAGGAATAGCTCCTTCATCACGTTACACACAGTTCAGATATAGTCCATGGTCCCCTGTAAGTATCTGTACACATGCTTCAAAGCCGTCATGTGTTTTTCTCTGGGATCTGACATGTACTGAGACAGTTTACTTACAATCCAACTGATGTCTGGTCTAGTACAGGTCATGATATAGATGAGGCTGCCCAACATCTCTCTGTACTTTCTTTGATCAGTTCTGTCGTCCTCTGGTGACAGGTCACATTTTACCTCACTGGGTGTAGCTCTAGCTTTACACTCTGCCATGCCAAACCGTTTCAGTATTTTCCTGATGTATCTGGACTGATTCATTTTTACACATTCATCTTTTTGGGTGAAATCAATCGCAATGAACTGTGTGAAGTTTCCAAGGTCTTTCATTTAAACCTACTTTTCAATCTCTCCTTGATCTCTCTCAAACACACATTATCACTGGCAGCCACAACTATATCATCTACCCACACTAGCAGAATGACCTTGTCTTTGTCAGACAGTTTCGTATAGATACAGTGGTCAGCTTGGCTCTGTACATCATCATTTTCAATCAGGAATTCATGGAGCACCATATTCCAATTCCTGCCTGACTGCTTGAGACCATAAATAGATTTGTTTAACTTACACACTGTCATGAGCTGGGGTGAGTACTCGCCTCATCTTCTCTCGATCTCTGAGTGCTTGGTTTCAGGAAAGGGAGCAACAGCTGTTCCAAATCAGCTGATCAGCGGGCCAGCTTATAAGGAGGAAGGTGGGCATGACTCAACGCCGGATGATT